CGAATACGTGAGTCGCCAACGGCAACTGGTAGATGGCACAGCCATCGCGATTGCGCGAGCCCCTACCAGAAATTCGTTGCGCCGCCCTTGGGGGCAAAAAACGGTGAAAGCTAACGTACGAAATCAGAGGGCAGCACACGGTGCGATCGCGCGACCCTGCACGTGAGCAATCTCCCAACTCATCTCTGTATGCAACTTCTTGTCAGTAGTACCAATAGTTCCAAGTTTCGCTTGGAGGGAAATTTTTTGCCGATTGAAAAATTAAAGTCGCAGAAACGTACTTATTCTTTCGCATAATAGACCGCGCTTCTTTCTCTAAAAGTTACTAAATAAAATATTTCTCTCATTTTCTAAGTGATTTCGTATTCATTAGTTCGATCTAATTTTCTGGCTGTTCGATGATTTCAAATTTTAAATATTGAAATATTGGTATTACCGGACATCCTTCGTTCATGCTGCCATCTACCCGGCACGAATCCAATCAGGAGGAAAACCTTGAGTTCCTAGAGCAGCTATTTTATTTTATGTAAGTGTAAAATGAATTACATGTGTAAGTACGACCAATCTGGTCTGTTTCTTATTCTAATTTCCACGATTCTGTTTATTAATTTTCCTTAATTTATTTCATTTTATCAGTATTTTTCTGTATAGAATAGAACCAGAGAGAACATAGAAGCATGCACGATCGAGAATGGCCTGCCATCTGTGGAACAATCCACGAATTAAAATTCTATGATTTAATCAAATCAATAACTAAAAGCACGGATTCCTAGTTCGAATAAAATTCAGTGAATTATTAAAATACGATGAAACTGAGGGAGAATGCAAAACATATGGTAATTGAGATATATTTTCCATTTTCCCCGACTTTATTAGTATTTTATAGTAGAACGTAGTTCTACATTCCCGCCGAAATTCACAAGTAAAACCGGTTTTTCTTACATTATCATTCCAGCGGAATGCAAGTTTCATAATCAGGAGTTTTAGATAACTGACGCTATTACTACAAGTACTCCATTAAACAAACTAGGCAGTAACCAAGAACAGAATGCAGCTGAAACTGAATTTAATTGCCGCGGCCAGTGAAAACATGGGAATAGGAATTAATGGAGATTTACCTTGGCGTCTCAAGTAAGAAAAAATGATTTTTTAATTGACAAATGATTACTGGAGCTCAAAGTCTGTTTGCATTGACATCGTACATGATTCTTAGGAGTGAGATGGCATTTTTTACCCGCATGACGACAAATACCAAGGATCCAAATAAGAAAAATGTAGTGCTGATGGGACGACGAACCTGGGAATGTATTCCAAAAAAATATAAGCCGCTACGGAAACGAATCAACATGGTTTTGAGTACTCAGACTTTGTATGTTTCATTAAGCCTATAATTCTTATTAATTCGATAATAGTATAACATTGCAATTATTGCTTTAAAGGCATTTGAAAGATGAGGCAATACCTTGCAAAAGCATTTCAGATGCTTTAAGTAAGATCTCGAAAGCACCTTTGAAGGACGTAGTGGAAAGCATTTGGGTGATAGGTGGCAGCTCTGTGTATAGGGTATAATTTATTTATTTCTTTTTGATAAGATAATTTATAAGGTATATTAGGAGCTATAATATTAATTATGACTGTTGCAGGCTGCGATGGAATCTCCTAATTTCCATCGACTATATCTAACAAAAGTATTGAAGCATTTTGACTGTGATACCTTTTTCCCAGAGATACCAAATAATTTTGCCTTGACAAGGTAAATAATTTATTTATTATCAGTATTATTGTCCCCGTGAAACTATCTTCATTACGATGAACTACTCCTAACCTGTAACGATTTCTAAATTTCAGTGATCCAGAAGTGCCAAAAGATACTCAAGAAGAAAATGGAATCAGTTTCAAGTACTTGGTATACCAAAGGAATTAATACTATATCATAAACTTTACTAAACTATCTCACAGTTTTAAAATTATACACATTATACAATATGAACATTTTTAAATAAATTAAATGAAATATAAACTTTAAAAGATTTAACTGCTGCCTTTTATTTATATAAGAATGGAAATTACAATGTTCAAGTAAGAAGTTTTCACCTTAATAAAAAGGAAGTATTAACCAGGTGGCCACTGCATCTGTCGGCCACCAAGAACATGCAGATGTAGATGGAAAACCGATTGAGCACCGTGTCTTCCGTCATTGATGACCAGACGGAAACCATCATCCAAACCTTGTTGTTTTGCGACTTTCCGAGCAACATTCATCAAGTGTCCCAACAATGGCTCGTCGTCATCCACTGACTTTGAAAGTTGGGAGATGGGTTTACGAGGAATCACCAAGAAGTGCACAGGAGCTTGAGGATTGACATCACTGAATGCCACGCACTGAGCCAGAAATCGTGATTATTACTAATGATCTCTTTAACCCCTTCCAGTACAATTACTTTACTTTAGTCATACTTTAGTACTCTAGTCACACGACGAGTGTAGCTCATCATTGTACGATATGGCATGAAAAACCATTGACGAGTTAGACCCGTCATTTTACTACAAGGGGTTAATCTCTTAGAAATATTGATTTAGCAATAACTTTTACTACGAAACTATTCATTTACAGGTAAGATATGTTCACTATAAACTAATGCATAATGCGAATACTTAGAAAAGTAACCACTTACAATTAGTTAAATCATCTCCTTGGAAACTAATCGACAAGTTATTTGATAACTAACCTTTACTACCCTAACCTATAAGGTACATCAGTTAAAGTAATTCACCTAAATTCACTCATTTAACGAACTGGAGTTACTAATTTTTACAGTTAATGGATTTAAGCATATTATCTCGAACTTGTTATCACCAACTCGACATGTGAAGGTAACATTAAAGGGAGATATGCCGGCGCATGTAAGTTCTTAATTTTGAAGAACAATGATAGTTGATTGGCAAAAAATCGTAATTAATTAAGTGCTCTACCTGGTCGTCCTCGTATATAAATGTACATGGGATTTCTTTGCGCAGTATTTTTCCGAAAATTGTATCTCCACCGGGAGAAGCAGTCTGCGATTTCTCCACTTCGGTCGCCATCTTTCTTTTCGCGGTCGTATTGTGTGCGGTGGTCGAGCTTGAAATGAAAAACTTCTTAATAACTTGTAGCGGTAATTTTGATAAAACTCTCATTTTTTTTACAATATCCGGAGTCGTCTTGTTATCCTAAACAATATTCCGAATGCAGACGGCAGTACGGTGCATTAAAGTACACAAGTTCTTGACCTTCCTCACGCGAATGTGCGAACACTGCCATGACACTGCGCGCGAGATTTGAATTAATATTACAATTTATTGCGTGTATAGGATGATGGAAGAAGTACAACTTTAAAGTTCCCTCAAAAGTAAAAAAAAAAGGTAATATTTGGTCCCGGATAATTAAGATCTTGTTTCCCAATTGTTGTTTAAAATCAGTACCGTGCGTGTATGTATGTATTTCTACAAGAGCTAACTCGCGAAATACTTACAAAAGTATAAAAATCTTTATTTCGCAGTTATACAGTCTTAACGATGCCTTATGTCTTCTGATTGTCTTACTATACTTACATTCTAAGTCCGATGGGTATAAATAAGGCTTACATCTCGACGAGGTTTATACACGTTGCTCATATAGTACATAAAATTACAGGACTAACGAAGTAACAAGTACACTTAACTCTTGAAGAGCTTAACTTACGTACAAGAAATTATGGCAGTGTTTTCTCTGGTTCTCTGTGGAGGATTCTAATTCCTTCCGACAGTACTATAACGAGTCATATAGACCCCAGTCTTATGGAAAACTATATTCTACATTTTAAATTAATCCTAAGCTTTGCTATCAACTCAGACAGGAGCTGTCACATTTTGACAATTCTCTGACTTACATACACATACATATACATATAAATATCTCTTCGAAGTAGGTACCGCTGCTTTCACTTAAAAATCAAATTTAAATATAAAATTGATCGATAACATTATCTCTACCTTATAGTTACGTGTAAACGTGAATATTGTCAAGTTAAATTTGCAAATCAGATTTAATTCATTTAAAGTTCATTTACCACTTAAAAATTAATTATTAGAGGTATAAATTTTGAGTAGAAATTATCAAGAAATGATAAATGATAATGATTTAGAGATGAATGGTCCCTCTGCCGAATTGAATATAAACTGATTGTAAACATTAAGTGAAAGCAGATGTACCGGTACTACTATTACGTGTAGGTGGTTTCTTGAAAATATCATACGTTTTAAATTAACACTAAAGCTTTGCATTACATTGTTACTATTTGTCAGTCAATTTTGACGTTTCTCTGACGTGTATGCCTTGAACGAGAATTGCTGTTTTACTTGAAATTACAATTAAAATTGAATGTTAATTGTAGACCGATCGTAGAAACTTGACGGTAGAATTGTTATGAAATGTATTAATTTTTGACAAATTCTAACCTGTTATAATCATTTTAAATTCCAGCATAAGTTTGGTGTAAATTATAAAGAAAAGTAGAGCAATCAAGTGCCATTCCCACTTAAGGATGATTTCGTTGAATCAGAGCGAATCAGAGCTGACTTCTATTTGGCTACAACATATCTAGGACATTTGCAAAAAGTACAAAACTCTTGATTTTTCACTTACAACGTAAAGAAAAATAACACTACACACTAACTTCAAATACCGCTTTTAAATACCATTAGTTTGATCGAGCTCTCGATACTAATCGAGGCCAGAATTGTAACTACGTAGGGGTAAGGAGAAGTATCGATAACATCGCATAAAAAATAGTGAAAATTAGTCTTTCTTAATTAAGAAACCTCCTAGCATAAGAAACCTTCTTTCTTTTGTAATACTATTTATTCTAATAAATATATTTAGATGAAAAATTCTATGGTCTTTTTTTAGAATCGAGATGCAAAATTATCTTATGGAATAGATTATCCAAAAAACTTTCTTAGGTCCCAATATATTAATCTAAATATTAAATTTTTCCCCCTTGTTAATACTAAGATCTAGACACGCGAGAATGCTTTCTACAAATGGACATATCTTAATTTAGAAAGAAAAAATTAGTTTTTCACCTCTATTTCTATGCGACTCCATTGACACTTTCCCTCACCACTCTTCAAATGCGACAGGAGTGTCGTTTTCGTTATTCTTCAAGGGCTAGGAAATATAATGAAAAGTGTGTAAAATATTAGTGATATGTATCAACGAAGAGCATGAAATTGTCTCCAATATAGTGCATGACTTGTATCAATTCACCTTATAAGCCATGTGGCCTTCCTTCATCTGCCTGTCAAAGATTTTTTACAAATAAGAAAGATCCTGCTGAAACTTGAAAGGACAATGCGAAGAAATTGTTTCTATAAAAACTTCAACTTCAATTAAATGAATTATGTAGTTCTATTAGTTTTTAGTATTTAGCACAAAGAATGAAACAAGAAACTCAATTAATTGAAATGTAAACGGTCGATAATGTTTACCTTTCAATATCTGTCAATTTACTTTGAGATGTTTAGGGCCAAAAGTTAATAACTGGTCACAGACATTAATTATTGCTTCCAGAGATCAAACATTTTCCTCCTCAATTCCTTTTCAAATTTCAACAAAGCAGAATAAATTATCATCGAGAGATCCTAAGGAAATTGCTCGGCTGTAGCAATGATAACTGTACAAAGAAAGTCGCTTTTTTGGATTTTAATTACTATAACACGGATAAATAAGGACTTAATTGGTCGGCGGTTTACCATCTTATTTGGATAACGGAATAACTGAGGTGGTGGAAGGAACTTACACGAACTGCTATTATTTTGGCTCTTGTCTCGCAGTAGTATCATCCAGAAACAGTTTGATGACATCCCTAATATAGAGATCACCGACGCCATTTCACTTTTTATACTGTCTACAGTTGAAGATAAATAAACTAACTCCGCTGGTCGGAATTAACCATTTCAATCGTAATGATGAATCAGACATTCGAGGGGTGATCATCGAGAGTCATCTTCAGCGAAGTATGGATGCCTGAGAGCTTGGGCAGCAGTCAGTCTATTGTGTGGATTGAAGATGAGTATATTCTTTATCAGATCCACCCCATTATCATCGAGATCCGGTAAAATGGTTCTCAGACGCCTGGGCTGTCTACGAGGGAACGTTGTCCAGCTAAGGGAGACGTTCTCAGGCCACTCCCTGTGTGAAGGAGTGCCAATCAGCCTAAATAAACAATATGTTATAGTGTTTTGACAATCTTGGAATATCCTGTAGATCAGTCAAAATGTGCTTTATTATTTCTAGACTTACTGGAAAATCCTATCGAGCTGGTCACCTTCGCTGGTTCCTGGGAATAATGGTTCGAGCCTGTTCAACTCACCCAAAATGCAACCAACGGACCAAATGTCAACTGGCGTGGCATAAGGGCATCCTAACAGAACTTCTGGAGCTCGATACCACAAAGTGACAACCTAAAAATATATACATTTTTAATTTGTGAAAAAGTATTTCTCAAGTGGGCGTCTAATATAAGGTGAAAGCGGTTGATACTTACTACGGAGGTCAACCTCATTTCGAAATCATAGGTCTTCGCAAGGCCGAAATCGGCTATTTTGATTCTGCCCTCTTTCGTCACCAGGAGATTTTGAGGTTTCAGGTCCCTGTGTACAATTCTCTGAGTATGAAGAAAATCTACACCTAGTAAAATCTCCTTTGACATCTGCCGAACGATTTGTGGAGGTATTCCTGTTTGGGCATAACCAGACATGTAAGAAGCCAGGTCTTGTTCCACGTGTTCGAAGACGAGCCACAGGGTTAAGCCTCGATCTATCCTCTCTGATCTCTCATCTCCGGAAGGTAACTGAAGGTAGTTGCCTTGGCAGACATCCAAGAGCTTCACCTAGTGACAAGTAGTATACGTATAATTATTTATTCTTCTCTGTCGACAACTGAAAACGTATTATTTTAGATGATGCGGTATAAGACATGCATGTAATAGTGATATTGAATTATAACACATGTTAAATTAATTAAAATGTATGTAAACCACTGTTTAAGACCTTACTATATGGGGGTGCTCGAATCGGTCAAGCTGTTTGAGAGCAGCAATCTCCCTCAGGGTGGACGTTGGCAAACCATCCTCCGTTAAGGGGACCCTCACTTTCTTAAGTGCAATGACCTGACCACTGGTAAGATCTTTTGCTTTGTAAACTGTGCCATAGGCCCCGTTTCCGATTAGTGACAGTTCCTGGTAATGGGCATGTTCACCCACCAATGGACTTTGAACTTGACTCGTGCTCTCTCCTTCGACAACCTCTCCGCTAAGACTTATCGCAGTAGACTCAGATCCTCCAGCAATAATTCCCTGAATCGAAGACCCCGAAGAAGGATTCTGACATATTCGAAGAGACATGACCTCAGTTGCGGTTGATGTTCCAGCACTTGGAAGAAGCGACGTCTTAATATTTTCTTCACCTATGGGCTCTGGTTTGTCTCTCGGCTCAGTTTCAATGGTTACCGACTGTTTGCATTGTGTTTCAGAAGCGATAGCTGTCGTTGCATGTAACCTAGAACTGCCAGTTTCCAAAGAACACTCTGGCTTATCTGGCTTATCTGGCTGAATGATTTCTAGACTTTCAACTTCTGGTTCTTTACTATCAGAGGAAGCACCTTCTTTCGTTAGAGTCTGTTTCCGCTTCTTCGGAGGTGGAGATGCCGAGTCGGGTTCCAGCTCCGAGCCCGAAAGCCCAGGCCTCCCAGCCATCACGACATCTCGACACTACCTGATAAGACAAATCAAAATACATTTCACATTATAAGTAAGTATCATTGAATATATCAGCATTACACATATCTTATACTAAGTAAATACATTGAAATTCAATTGAGTTTATAAATATTTAGAAACGCAATTATAATTTTCCATATTCTAACGCATCATTTCATATTAAAATATATTGTAACAAAAAGTTTTGTATCAAACATTCATGAACTAAATAACTCAATTAAAATGTGTAAACTATATATATGTATATATATGTGAAGAAATAAAAACAAATGCTTTGGAACACTTTACTCTATCGGAGTATACATTAAAAAAAGATATATATATACATAAATATTAAGTTCACATTTAATGATGGTTTCGTCGTGGTTTAATGGGTTTATATCAAACATTTGCGATAAATATAGTTCTACGTATTATAATTATTTTAACTCTCTTAAATAAATCGTACGAGTATCAATGTGTGAAATAAATATTAAGTTTAGGAAAACTAAAACTATGCGAGGAAAGTTATTTTGTAAAAACATACTTGCATTCCAAAGAACACGAGAGACATAATAGCCAATAAAATGCCCAAGTTCTGAAATATTTTTTAGTTTTAGGAATCGTCAGTGCAACGTAACATTGACATGACAACTAAACGATTGCAGCGCCACTCAAAGGAAACTAAAAGGATTTTCGTGTCCTTTTCGAACACAAGTTTTCGGAAAGAGACATGAAATTGTTGGTATTACAAAATCCGGCATGAAAATGTCTCCCTTACCCTTTTATTTCCACTCGAAGGTACATTCTCGGACTTTCAATGTGACCCCTCGCGTCCCAAATATGTTCCCGCTCCCTTATTTCGTACGTTGAAATCTCCAGACCCTGTATACCAATTATAAATACTCCGCATCTCCGACGGAGGTTACAACGCCATAGAAGCAGAAAACTTCGACACGTAAGAAACAACAGAAATCATTACTTGAATTAAAACGGAGTTAACATACGTCAAACCATGTTAACCAGTTAACATTTTAGAGTTAAGTCTTACAATAATTTTTTCTCAAATAACTATCTACTGACATTCGCATTTATGGCATTTAAAAGCCCAAAACTAACGGCGTATTTTATACAGCCTTGAGATAGCGCAGTGTTCTGAAATTCTCCGCCATCTTGATTTCTTCCCCGACACTACATATATACATATTCTGATCAAGCAAAAAATGAAGACAGGAATTAAAGAAGTAAATTTTGTTTATTACCCTGTATACCAATTATAAATGCTCCGCATCTCCGACGGAGGTTACAACGCCATAGAAGCAGGAAACTTCGACAAGTAAGAAACAACGGAAAGCATTTCTTGAATTAAAACGGAGTTAACATCCGCCAAACCATGTTAACCAGTTAACATTTTAGAGTTGAGTTTTACAATAATTTTTTCTCAAATAACTATCTACTGATTTGATATGCATTTATTTATTTATAAGGTAAGGGATCCAAAGGAAATCCGCGCGCGTAAATAAGATATTAAATCGTCGTGTTTCACTTCACCTCAAACCATGTATTGGTTAATTTTATATACATTTATTTATTTACAAGGTAAGGGATTTAAGAAAGTCCGCACGCGTGAATAAGATATTAAATCATCTTGTTTCACTTTACTTCAAACCATTTATTGGTTAATTTCATATGTATTTATTTATTTAGAAGGTAAAAGACCCAAAGGAAGTCCGCGCGTGAATAAGATATTAAATCATCTTATTTCACTTCACCTCAAACCATGTATTGGTTAATTTAATATGCATTTATTTATTTACAAGGTAAGGGACCCAAAGGAAGTCCGCGCGTGAATAAGATATTAAATCATCTTATTTCACTTCACCTCAAACCATGTATTGGTTAATTTAATATGCATTTATTTATTTACAAGGTAAGGGACCCAAAGGAAGTCCGCGCGTGAATAAGATATTAAATCATCTTATTTCACTTCACCTCAAACCATTTCTATTGGTTAATGTGATATGCATTTACTTATTTACAAGGTAAGGGACCCAAAGGAAGTCCGCACGCGTGAATAAGATATTAAATCATCTTATTTCTCTTCACCTCAAACCATTTCTATTGGTTAATTTAATATGCATTTATTTATTTACAAGGTAAGGGATCCAAAGGCAGTCCGCGGGCGTAAATAAGATTTTAAGTCGTCGAAGAAAGGGGGTCACGGATCTTGTGTTATAAGGTTGCGAAAAGGTTGCGGCAAAGGTATATAGAGGAGTCGCGGAAGTCTCGGCCATGAAGGCACGAAGGGGCGAGAGAGGAGTCGCGACATCTGCACGGACACCTGCCTCGGAGCAACGGAGACCGGGGCCCGCCATATTGTTGCCTTCGAGAACATCTTGTAAATACCGGGCCCCTTCGCGGGGTCGTTACACTTAGTTCGGGCCCGAAGGAACCACCGATAAACGGAACCCCGAACGGGTTCGACGACATTTCGGTGCACCGAAATCCCTAATAGCCTAGTGTGTAGTCTTCCGCGCGATGTCGTCCTCTGCAACCGGAATCCCGGTGATTCATTGACTAAGAAAGCCTGCAGGCCTCGAATTTCCTAACAACACCGGGAAACGTTTTGAATTCCATTTCCCTTCAATGTCGAAACCACGTAATTCCCTTTAAGGTGAAGTGAAACGCGTCGAGGAGCTTGATCGACGTTCGTTTTTATATCGACAGCTGTGTCGAATTATATTGAGTATTGTACTAAATGGCATACTCCATCTGTCGTTTTCGTACAGTAATTATAAAGAAATCGAAGTAAAACTCCAGAAATCCCCTGGATTCGTGGTTTCTGAGGCCCTAATTGACTGCAGAGGGACCCACTGCAATATCTGTGATTTCCAGGTTAATTAAATCTTCACTCCGAGACCTCGTATTCTCATCGTTTTAGCATAGAAGCGCATAAAACAGTTTTTTTGCCCTTATCCCGTTCAAATGCGAGTTTATCGATTACCAGACTGTTCTAAATTGTCGTACAATTGTCCAGACACTTTAGTTTCTCATATTAGAGCCTTCAATAATTGGATATCAATCGAAATGTGAGAGCTCGACGTCATTTTTGCTCTGTTCTGAGCTGTGAAAAAATTTGTTTTTAAAATCCAAATTTTGAAAATGTCAAGATAATCCCTAGGTGCTCACGAGTCATGTGTCAAAGTTTCGGACAGTTCTATCCAATACCTTAGAAAATGTGTTGTATTCAAATCGACTGATTTGAGGCAGGTTGCACTTCACCTTAAGGTGCCGACGTTCGTTTTTATATCAACAGCTGTGTCGAATTATATTGAGTATTGTACTAAATGGCATACTCCATCTGTCGTTTTCGTACAGTAATTATAACAAAATCGAAGTAAAACTCCAGAAATCCCCTGGATTCGTGATTTCTGAGGCTCTAATTGACTGCAGAGGAACCCCTTGCGCCATCTGTGATTTCCGGGTCAACTAAATTTTCACTCCGGGACCTCGCGTTACTATCGTTTTAGCACAGAAGCGCATAAGGCATTTTTTTTGCCTTTATCCCGATCAAATGCGAGTTTATCGATTACCAGAGTGTTCTAAATTGTTGTGCAATTGTCCTGCCCTTGTAGTTTCTCATATTAGAGCCTTCAATAATTGGATATCAATCGAAGTGTGAGAGCTCGACGTCATTTTTGCTCTGGTCTGGGCTCTTAAAAAATTTGTTTTTAAAATCCAAATTTTGAAAATGTCAAAACAATCCCTAGGTGCTCACGAGTCATGTGTCAAAGTTTCGGACAGTTCTATCCAATACCCTTAAAAAAAGTGTCTAACTCGAATAAACTCATTTTAGAAGGGCTTCACTTCACCTTAACGCGAATGTTTATTTTTACTGTACGTAATTAATTTATCTGGACTATCTAAACTGGATGAATGTGTTATTAGAACGTAATTAAAACCAACAATGCTTAATGGTTAATAAAAACGTTAAAGATAACTTGAGGTAATTTTTAATCAATAATGTTACTCTGGGGGGTCTTAAGATGATATGAAAGGGTCATTCTATATATCAAGACGTGAAAATATTTATGAAACTTTACTCCAAACAGGATGCACCGAATCATTTGAAACTTCAGCACGTGATTATGAAGGCCCTAAGAAAGAACGCGATGCTCGTGAAATTTCATTTTCAACAAAATAGTTTTTTCATATATCCTAGACTAGAACCAAGATCAGATTATTTTTGTGAAAAATTAAATTTCACAAGTTTAGGGTTTTTCCTTAAGGCCTTTATAATCATATACTGAAGTTTAAAATGATATATATACATTTATAAAATATATATATTTTTTATATCGAATATAACGTCCGTTTAATATCGCCTTAATGTTTCTTGAAAGTATTGAGAAATACAGGAACCATACATTTTACGTTTTTCATTCAGAGTGGCGCTTACGTAAGAATAGAAAATACTTTCTTGACGCTATCGTGAACGAATCTGTTGACATAAAAGGGAAGCAACGAATGAATGGGCGCGACAGAGATGTAGATATGGTCGGCGGGTCGAAAGCTCGTAGGGTGAAAGAGACAGAAATGGTGGATAAGATGTTAAGCGAGAGAAAAAAAAAACAAGATAAATACATTTCTTTACACGGCCCAGATAGTACGGTCTTGGCGATAAGGGCGACCTCGGAGTTCCAAAAGCGGGCTTTCGAAATTTGGAAAAGAGCCGTAGAAATTTCTGGCCAAACATTCGTAAACAGTCTGACAAATAATTCGGTAAATAAATTAATTAAAGGAAGGCATCTTTAATCCACATAAAATGTTTCGTCTTTAGTCTAAAACACCAATGAGAAAGAATATCCGTTATCGGACACTATTGAGGTACACAGAATTAAAAATCGTATATATCTTACTTAACTTAAACTAATGAAAAAGCGCATACGTGTTCAATGTGGAATTTATTTGTTTACAAAAAGAAAATGTAAATCGGGCTCTTCTCGTTGTACTTGA